GAGCAGTACATAGCTTCCTACCAAGTACTAAAACAGTCGAAGGATGTCCTTCGACGAGAAAAAAAATTTTTTTTCGGTGCGGTTAACCATGGGAGGTCAAGCATACCTTTGATACAATTAAGTACGGTATAAAATAAGGCAGCGTTTTGTAACAATACAATCAGGCATAAACAGCAGATTTGTGAGGTGTTAAGTAACAAGAAAAGAAACTTACTTGTTGTATCTTGAAGTGAACCAGAATCTGAAAAAAATGGGTACGTAAAAATGCTTTGCAATTGTGACAGTCGTAACTATGATTGTAGGCTTAATAAATATACCGTAATAGATATCAATTGACAAAATTTTCATTGCTAATAAAGATACTTTATTTGACAAGATTAATGTTAGATCACTGACTTCAATCACCTCGGACACACAAAATTGGTGTAAATATTAAATTGATCGAAACAAACCTCTCGTGAAACGCTTTTTGCTTTAATAAAACACGCAATCTAACTTTATACAACGTAAAAATAGCGAGGAAACGGGCTCGTTGATTTAACAAGCGAACGTTTATCTTGTTTAAGGTACCATTGCCAACTTTTCACAGGCATTATGGGTGGTTTACATTTGTCTTATGCAGCAAAAACGTTAATGGAGGAAACAATGGATTAGGTAGGAAAACAAATGACTTTTATTATTCATTTACACAGCGACAGGTTTTTGAAGATATAGTTCACTTTATTGAATAATAACTTTTTTAATATCCAGCCCTCGAAGATGAAGTTGTCTCAATTTACAGCAAAAACTTCACAAATATTCCCAAGGACAGGGAGCCATTTTATGTAAAAGGTTCATCGATGTGTACTCAACATGAAGACGACGATTTACAATGTTCCAGGTCCCGAACGTTATCCTCAACCCACAAAAATGAAAGAAATTGAGATTGTTGTGCCTGATTTAAAAAACTACAAGAAGTTTTATAAATATACTGTCTACGATCACATTTCTTGTGACTGGAAGAGGTGGTTAGGCCAGCCAATGAATTTTGATTTACACAAGAACCTTACTTCAAACGAAAGTAAGCCAGATTACTAAATGTGAGAATGACGTTGAATAACCACAGCTTAACTTAAAAACTTCATTTTGTTCTTACAGTTAACGAAACAGAATTTAAATCTAAGGTTAAATACAATCCACCAAACGTTAGAGAATGTAATGACTACTGCAAGAATCAACAGCCACGTTTTAATGTACCGGTGAACCCATGGCAGTTAATATAGATCAACTCTTCATACCATTCAAACAATGCCTGCCTGGTTGCAAAGCAACAGAGAACATTCTAAATGTTAGTACGAAACTCAAAAATGGCTTCTATAAGCATTTAAAGATCATAAAGACATACATCTTGCAATATGGAGCCCATCTACGCAATTACAAACCGATAGCAATTTACTGGCTGTTATATTAAACACTTGGAAATCACAAAGTTTGAATAAACATCAAAGGGAAATGATGAAGGTATGAATCTCTATGATATACTTGTAAGAAAAACTACGCAAAGTTATGTTTCATCACTTAAGAAGTATACTTCTTGTACACACTTGCATTTATGTTTCATTATTCTCTTTATTATTTCATTCCTATTAAAATTTCTTCACAGATATCAAACACATTTTGTTAAATAAAGTTGCTCCTCTACATCACATCCCTAAAATGATGTTTGCTGCTTTCGTCCTCTCAATTGTCCTCATTTCAATGCTTATTCTGGACTGCAATTTGTGTTGTCGTAAAAGGAATAATGTATTTGTTGATGACTTGTGGAAAGAATAAAGAAGTGCGAAGACTGCATAAGAGAGACGTCAAACCATGATCAGAAATGGTTTAATAGATGCTGCTGAAAGACACAAATCAAAGAAATGAAGAATACAGAGAACCAGACTGAGTCATCAATAAAATCGATGCAGACACAGGAAATGACCCCAGAAGAAGACTTGAATTAGTTGTGACGTGGTCAGCGTAAATGCAGAAAAATGATGGGTACTAAGTACAATTAAAATAACAAAATTAATATCAGCGTACTGATATAACTATATTTTCCTGGTATCTCGCATTTGAAGTAGCTTGTAAATCTCCGTTTGTCTATTTTGGGAATTATAGACACACCTTGTGTAATCTGCTACATGCTTATTTTTTATTTATTTCTTCTGGATATATAACAAACTTGAATTTTCCTGTGGTCAAGATAGAAATTAAGGCAAAACATTCCGCTATAACAATAATATATGCCATCTAAACTTTATTCGATAAACTTTGTATTGGACGAACTTTCTACTGTAAGGAAATAAACTTTGTATTCGGACGAACTTTCTACTGCATGGAAATAAGCTTTGTATTGGACGAACTTTCTACTGTAAGGAAATAAACTTTGTGATGGACGAACTTTCTACTACATGGAAATAAGCTTTGTATTGGACGAACATTCTACTGTAAGGGAAATAAACTTGTATGGACGAACTTTCTACTGTATGGAAATAAACTTTGTATTGGACGAACTTTCTACTGTATGCAAATAAACTTTGTATTGGACGAACTTTCTACTGTATGCAAATAAACTTTGTATTGAACAACTCTTTAACAAGCACTCTATTACAGGCTCAAAAATGATTATAAATAAAATTAGAAACGATTGTAGAGAGTCATATTTCACGGTCTCTATATTTGTCTGATTTAATCCATGCAGCAAAATCATTTCTGTCGAAAAAAAAACACAGTATTTCTGACGTATTTCTTTGACCACAATTTTTGCCTAGAACAGGATAACATAAAAATTGATGAAGAACAAAACAAGAAACGGCTGAAAGCTACATTGACGTGTTGTATGAACTGTATACTTGTCTAAGAACTCGTGCAGCTTTATCAAAAATCTTTAATTGTTGTCTTTTCCATATAAGAATCTTAATTCATTGATGTTTTCTCTAGGGCGTTCTACTTCCTCGAGCTATTCACTCAAAAGTTTCTCTCAAACATGATCGTCGTTTCGTCGTTATTTATTAGCATACACGCGTATTCAGTTCTGACAGGGCAAACCATTGTCAAATCTATAAGTTTCCTTAGTGCATGTTATTCATTAAAATTAGAAAAATTTAGCAAACACGACTTGTCATACATAACGTCGTTAAATATAACACTAAATGACGTTTATGCCCATATATAGTCTATGAAATGTTACAGTCTATAAAATGTTGGTAGGTATTGCGTTCACTAAAACTACATTCAAAGCTTTACTTTTTCTTGAATTCCCTTATTAGTAATCACATGAATTTATCATTTTTCCGCGTTCAAGGAATTATGTAATTCTTCATACCCAAGCCGGCTGATCTGTTTTGCCCTTACCACATTGAAACATCTTTCCATCTCTTTTTCCTAACAGACGGTCAATTTTGGCGTCCAAAACCTCTAGGTCAGGGCAGGGATTATTGGAAGTTTAACTCGAAAAAGAAAAAAAATCAATTTAACGCTGTTGCCATTACAATACCAAACTTTCACAAATGAAAAAACCCCAGCAAAGTCCAAATGTTAGTAAGTTTCGTAAATAGAAAGAATAGTTGTTCTGAGATTATACATAATCCATTACCAGCCGACAATTTTATAAAGTATAATAAAAACTTCCTCGAATAAAGGTCCAAAACTCAATACTTAAGAAACAAACAAGACAGTTTTTTTACACAGTAATATTTCGAATTTATTACAATTCATCATCGGAATGTTTCTCAAATATTGAGTTAAACATGAACATTTTATTCGGAATATGTTTTCTTATTATACTAAAGGAAAGTATAGCTTTTCTCTATTTGTCGCAGCAAATTCATGCTAGCAAGCTGATTTATTCTGTCTGCTTGCGGATGAATTATGGCGACGATTGATTCAACAAGACATTCTGTAATAAAGTAAATGGTTTGAACCAAAGTAAATGTCAACAACAAGTAAATGGTCAACAACAACAAAAACAGTCCTTCTCAGGACTATACCAACCTGGACGATCTACATTTACAAACATGTAAAGACATTCTGTAATAACGAAAATGCAAATTTCAATTTTTTATGACCTTTCGTGTTTAGAGCAGATTTTTGAACTTTACATGCCTTAATTTTAACACCTAGTTTCCTACTATCGATTGATGTTGTTGACAAATTATAAACAGAGGACCTAGCTCAACTAACACCTTCCTACCGATGATATGGCGATAAAGAGAAAAACTAAGATACGAAAATTTCGCTCCTTCATTAATTGAGCTTTCCTGCTGGCTGTTGCGTGCTCTAACAGTCATTTTTCACATGATTATGATTGATTCTTGAACCCTCACTCTCATGAATAGATGGCCTGCTGTGCTGACGTGCATTATAGAGCTGATTAAGTTTCATGACACGTACGAGCACCGCCACTCATAACAAAACAGCTGCGATTTGTTTTACGTAAAGAGTTACGTACATACTCATACATACGAAAATACGTACATACATACATACATACATACAGACATACAAACATACGAAGTTTGCATCCTTCATTAATTTGGCGCTTCCTGCTTGCTGTTGCGTGCTCTAATAGTCATTTTCACACTTGATTATGATTGATTCTTGACCCCTCCTCTGTGGGTATGCTGTGCTGACGTGCATTATAGAGCTGATTAAGTTTCATGACATTAAAGAAGCTGAATTAGAGCTGAATTGTCGTTGATTCTTGAAAACTCACTCTATAAATAGATGGCCTGCTGTGCTGGCATGCATTATAGAGCTGATTAAGTTTCATGACATTAAAGCTGAATTAGAGCTGAATTATGATTGATTCTTGAACCCTCACTCTCATAAATAGAGTGGCCTGCTGTGTTGACGTGCATTATAGAGCTGATTAAGTTTCATGACACGTACGAGCACCGCCACTCATAATAAAAACAGCTGCGATTGTTTTTACGTAAGATTTATACCTGCTCATTGTAAGTAACGTTCAACTCTGCAAATATCATAGAGCGACTATGGGTGAGTAAAACGATTACCTTGATCATCGAATTTAAAGTTCGTGCTACCAAGTAATTAATTATAAAAATCTTTCATTAAACCTGTAATGCGAATTTGAAATACATAATTATATAATATAAAGAGGCGTGTAAAGACACAATTTATTTATTTGTTACCAAGCTTCTTTTTAAGGTATCTTTGAAAACTTAATATATACTTGGGTAATGTTCGTGGTCTTTGTTTTTGAAACAAGCGCAAAGGTGAATGGAAGAAACCATGGATTAGGTACGATAAAAATAGAAGTCTATGAAATTAAACTAGAATCAAACATAAAATAATATGGTGAATGTGTAATGCTTTTCATATTATTGTATTTTTAACAACAATGTGTACTCGTTCATAAATCAAGATTGTTTATCTTTTTAAATTTCGTGAATGGGAGATGGAAATATCCTGCACTAGGTACAAAAACGACGGCTTTAAACATAATGAAAATGGCATGGTCAACGTTAATATTCATTTTCTATAATTATAGTCCTCAAGGAAGAAGTTGTCTCAATTTATAATGAAAACTTCACTGACATTCCCAAGGACAGGGAGCCCTATTATGTTAAAGTTCAACGATGTATCATCGATAAAGATAAAATTCCTAATTGTGTATTTTGCTGGCCCCAACCAAATACGACGATAGAAGTCGAGATTGTCGTTCCTGATTTAAAAAACTACACAAAATTTTACAAATATATTGTATATCATCACACTTCTTGTTACCTGGAAAAGAAGCGACAGCCGTAGACTTTAATCTACACAAGAATCTACAGCAAACGAAAGTAAGGACTTCTGTATTCTAATTGAAATTTAAACTGAGATCTAAATTTGAAACGCATTTCCTTTTTGTGTTTACAGTTAACGAAACAGAATTTACAACAAAAGTAAAATACAATCCACCAAACGTGAGGGCAATATAATGACTATTGCAAAGCATCCAACCTCGTTTTCATCTGTACAGTGAATATACAAAGGTTGAATTAAATGATCTCTTTATCCCATTCACTCAATGCTTGCCTGGTTGCAAAGCAAATGAGACAATGAAGATTGTCAATATATATGCCATAGATGGTTCAAACCCGATTGAAGTCATTAAAGAACATAAATCTTGCAATCTCTGGAGCACAACACAACAGTCCCCTTAATTCAGCATTTGGGAAGTGGAGAAGAAAGTATACGAATTTGTGCAGTGAACATCAAGATCAGTAATTTAGTTGATTTTGTTTAATGCAGGATGGAAATAATAGAAATTCACAAAAAGTTTATAAGTATCAAAAATAAATCAATGTTTCAATAAAGTTTCAAAATTAAAGCAACAGAACAAAGCTGCAGTGTACTCGCAACGCCAAAATATGCCCAGCAGTACTAAGTGATAACGATACTACCCTCCTAACAACCTTGTACACTACTTCCGGATGGTGATTATCTCGACAACATTAAGTCTTTATTGAACGTATCGCCAGATTTATACGCTCTTCTTGAAATAAAAGCACCATTACATAAAACTTGGCATTAGTGAACCTATTACTTGGTAATTTACTTTTTTTAGTTAACATTCAGCACAATTAGTTATACATCAGATTGATTTAACATCCATCAAAACGATGACAATTTTTGCATTATTTTAAGTATGGAACAAATGGAGAACTACCTTGACCGGAGTTCAGTTTGCTTATGCGATAAAGCATACATATTATTAAGGACAAGTCATCAACAGTTATAATACTAGAATCGCCAAAATTTTATTTGGTTACAATATTTATACTTAGTGTGGTAATCCAAAACTCGTGTTTACAGGAATCTTAAATGCGAAATGGAGTGAATTCCCTCTTCTGTTGTTAAAGGCAGCTTTGCTTGTTGGAGGTACTTCTGGAAAACTGACATCGTCAGAATATTTTCTGGTCATAATTTATTTATCTGAGTTAGAGCTTTTGTACAGTACTTTTTACCAGCACTTCGGTATGAACTACGGCTGTTAAGCGCCTAACTGAATTCAACACATTACGCAATTCATTTTGTTCAGCAATGAGTGACTGAACAAAGTTTTCTCTACGTCATCACGACAAGTTCTTCGATTCAAAGTCGTTCGTTGCCAAGCTTTTTCACTTTCCAACATATTTTGCTGCTTAGTAACAGCTTGAGAATTATGCTTCCGTATTTATTTCGTTTTCCGAATTACTTCTTCAGAAAAAATATTCTCTCATTTGTATCCAGATGCGTCGATAAAATTTTGTAACATTTCAACATCATTGAGAATTCAACACCATTTTCCTCACTCTGTTACAATTTTTGAACTTGTTTCGACTATTGCGGTTTAATGGAGTTTTCAAATGGTTGTGAGAATTTAGCCCGGATTTTAAAATGGCCATATAAAAGCGTAACATCATCAAAATATGTTAAATAGTTTATTGAAAATTATAATGCCACCATCTCATACAAAAATCGCAACTAATAACTACGCCCTAAGAACTCTTTGAACGCTAAGGGGCTGATAACATGATAGCTGGCCCAGAGACTCGAGCCAAACGTTAAATGATTTTAGGAAAGATTTGATACCGACATCAGGACAAATCATCTCAAACAATTTCTGTTTACTGATTTAATAACCACCGAAACATTTAAAAATTCAAACAAACTGAATTTGTAGAATTGTCGAATTACAACAGGATAACGTGTGGCGCTTTGCAATCACAATTGTAATTTTAACAGTTTTGGTCTTTTCTCAGTCCCTTGAAATCATAGGGCTAGCACGCTATCGGGCCAGCTCGCCTCCATATAATCAGGCTCTAAGAGTACTTCATCAGCCATGGTGAAGCAAAAAAAGCAGAAGTTACTGTAAATTTAAAAGCTAAACAGAAGTTAAAGAAGCTTGCATACATTCTTTTGTTTTAGTCTCTGCGATAGATTTAAATGTACAATTAACATTATAAACAATTATACGATGTAATTTTTTATATTATTTTCAACATGTACCATATGCTCCATTTCCGTCAATTAACACAATTATTGAATTGACCGTATTTTTAAAATGGGACTTCACAATGCACTTAGAATGGACAGTACTGACAAGGTTGGTCGTATTAAACGGTTGTTTGTTATAAAATACACCAGTGTTTTGCTTGGCAGAAATACGACTGTCATATAACCGTATTAACGGCAGACCGTAAGGCGGGGTGTCGCAAATTAGGAAAAGTAAAACGCATTACAAAAATGTAAATAGAGCGGAACAAATTTAAAATTCATTCTAAAAGGGAAGACAGTCCTTGAAGTACTAAATGTCGAGTCATCGATATGAACGGAAACCGAGCACGAAAGAAATTAGTCAAAATACACCCACTACGTCTAATAATACAAAGCCGCAATAAGTACTAACATATGGGTACTCCAAATCCTCTTGCAAAACATTCTACCTCAAATACAAAAAAGGGAAATAATTGCAAGAGTTCTTAGTATTTCCTTAGTTAAAAGACACAAAATGATACTTTGAACTATTCTTGTATCATTGAACTATTTTTGTATCATGCGCCAAAAAAGAAAGAGTAAAAATGCTCTTTGCTTAAAAACCTTGAAAAGATTCTGCTGTGGAAAGACATGAGACAAAATTGCGGTGAAAATTCAAAATTACATGATCCTATGACATATATGATGCTGGAAATACAAAAGAAGAAAATCGCCGTTGTAATCAAAACCACGCCACTCCATCATCTCTTTGTTTTAGCAAAGAGATATTCTTCTGGAATATCAATTTGCAGAAAATAAATTTGAAGCCTCACTATTCCTATTATCTCGTTGTTTTAGCAAATCTCGATAAGATATGATTCTGGAAAGACATAGGAAGAAATTGCCGCAAAGAAATTTAAAACCACCCCATCCTACCATCTCTTTGCCTGAACAAACTTCGAGAGCTATTCTTTCGAAAGAAATGAGCAGAATACTGCTGGAAAAGACATGAAAAGAAGATTGCAGAAGAAATATAAAACCAGGCCGTTCGCTTCCATAAAATATTTCTTCTCATTCAAATAATTCTCATTCGCAAATGTCGATATTTCACCTCAATTAAGTCGGAAATTCTAAGCAATTTCTCTTTGATTTTCAAGGTCAAATGGACTTCTTGAAACAGAATGCTTCAAATAATGAAATGCGTTGTGGCAAATGACTCATCCTCAATTATGCAGTTATGTGCAAGGAAATAGTCGATAAGAACATTCGGATGACAAAACAATAGTAGGTACACACTCCATTCCTTTCCTTTAATCGACGCCATTATGTTTGATTCAACTAAATAGCCAGCACCAGCTTACAATTGTCGTCAATCGTCTGTTGTTACCGCTTATAAATGCATCGTGTTGATTGTCATTACGAAAAATCTCTACTCCTATCTCCCAAGTTTTGAAAAAACATCCAAATTTAAAGAACAATCTTTTAGTTTTACGCAATTCATCGAAGTAAGTAAAGTCTCTTCCGCCAGTGTGTTTTTTTTTTAACAAAACGGCTTGTTTGAGAATATAAGACTGTGGGTCCCGCTAAATTCAAACTATATCATCAGTGGCACAGCCAGCTTGATAATAAAGGGGCGGAGGTAGGGTGGGGCAATTTTCACACGTAAAAGTTCTGCCTTCAGTTCTATCGATATACGCATTATTTATTGCATGCACATGTGAATATGGCTCATCCCCCTTCCTAATCGCAGGAACTACCTATGCCATTATAGGACCAACTCTTTCAGTGTGTCTTCAAACACATCCCACCACATACCCCTCCCCCTCCCCCCGATAATTAAAACTTCCAGCAACAATTTTTCCTCGACTTTCAAATTACAGTCAGCATTTTAGCACTACCTAACACAATTTTAGCACAAGCTAACATTACACACAAAAAATTGATTCTGACGAAGTCAATATGTGGTATCCAAAAATGCTGGATCTATATGTTGACTTTGTTTGCACTGGGCTTCAGTCAGAAACATTCTAACACGAAAGGCACAGCTACGAGTATATTCTTTCAAGCTATTCTCAAAGCTTTACTTTTTTTTTGAATTCCCTTATTAGTAATCACATGAGTTTATCATTTTTCCGCGTTCAAGGAATTATGTAATTCTTCATACCCAGGCAGGCTGATCTGTTTTGCCCTTTCCACATTCAAACATCTCTCCATCTCTCTTTCCTAACAGACGGTCAATTTTGGCGTCCAAAACCTCTAGGTCAGAGCAGGGATTATTGGAAATTTAACTTGAAACAGAAAAAGAATCAATTTAACGCTGTTGCCATGACCATACCAAACAAGATTCATTTCGCAATTTTGAAATCTGTGGACGACTTTCACAAATGAAAAAACCCCAGCAAAGTCCAAATGTTAGTAAATTTCGTAAATAGAAAGAATAGTTGTTCTGAGATTATATAAAATCCATTACCAGCCGAAAATTTTATAAAGTATACTAAAAAACTTCCTCCGAATAAAAGGTCCAAAACTCAATACTTAAGAAACAAACAAGACAGTTTTTTTACACAGTAATATTTCGAATTTATTACAATTCATCATCGGATTGTTTCTCAAATATTGATTTAAACATGAACATTTTATTCGGAATATGTTTTCTTATTATACTAAAGGAAAGTATAGCTTTTCTCTATTTGTCGCAGCAAATTCATGCTAGCAAGCTGATTTATTCTGCTTGCGGATGAATTATGGTGACGATTGATTCAACAAGACATTCTGTAATAAAGCAAATGGTTTGAACCAAAGTAAATGTCAACAACAACAAGCAAATGGTCAACAACAACAAAAATAGTCCTTCTCAGGACTATACCAATCCGGACGATCTACATTTACAAACATGTAAAGACATTCTGTAATAACGAAAATGCAAATTTCAATTTTTTATGACCTTTCGTGTTTAGAGCAGATTTTTGAACTTTACATGCCTTAATTTTAACTCCTAGTTTGCTACAATCGATTGATGTTGTTGACATACTATAAACAGACGACCTAGCTCAACTAACCCCTTCACACCGATGATATGGCGATAAAGAGAAAAACTAAGATACGAAAATTTCGCTCCTTAAGATACGAAATTCACAAAAAGTTTATAAGTATAAAAAATAAATCAATGTTTCAATAAAGGTTTCAAAATTAAAGCAACAGAACAGCTGCAGTCAACAATATCGCAACCGCCAACAATATCCCCAACAAATACTAAGTGATAACGATACTACCCTCCCCCCTAACAACCTTGTACTAACTCCGGTTGGTGATTATCTCGACAACATTAAGTCTTTATTGAACGTATCTCCAGATTATACGCTCTTCTTGAAATAAAACTCGTACATAATACTTGGCATTAGCGAACCTATTACTTGGTAATTTACTTTTTTAGTTAACATTCAGCACAATTAGTTATACATCCAATTTAGTTAACATCCATCAAAAACGATGACTTTGCTGCCAGACAATTTTTTGCATTTTTTTTAGTATGGAACAAATGGTGAACTACCTTGACCGGAGTTCGGTTGCTTATGCGATAAGCATGTGTTAATCCTCAAATATCTAATGATGAAATATACATAATATTGGAACAAGTCATCAACAGTTATAATACTAAGATCGCCAAAATTTTATTTGGTTACAATACGAAAATTTCGCTCCTTCATTAATTTAGCTTTCCTGCTTGCTGTTGCGTGCTCTCACAGTCGTTTTTCACATGGTTTTTATTGATTCTTGACCCCTCACTCTCAAACCTCTTAAGATGGCCTGCTGTGCTGATGTGCATTAAAGAGCTGATTAAGTTTCATGACACGTACGAGCACTGCCACTCATAACAAAAACAACTGCGATTGTTTTTACGTAAGAGTTACATGCCTGCTCATAGTAAGTAACGTTCAACTCTGCAAATATCATAGAGCGAACTATGGGTGAGTAAAACAGACTACCTTGATCATCGAATTTAAAAGTTCGTGCTTTACCAAGTCATTAATTATAAAAAATCTTTCATTGAACCTGTAATGCAATTTGAAATACATAATTATGTAATATAAGAGGCGTGTATAGACACAATTTTTATGTATGACCAAGCTTTGTCTTTTAAGGTATCTTTGAAAACTTAATATATACTTGGGTAATGTTCGTGGTCTTTGTTTTTGAAATAAGCGAAAAGGTGAATGGAAGAAACCATGGATTAGGTACAATAAAATATGAAGTCTATGAAATTAAACTTCCTAGAATCAAACATAAAATAATATGGTCAGTCTTAAAATGCTTTTCATATTATTGTATGCATAACAACAATGTGTACTCGTTCATAAATGAAGCTTGTTTATCTTTTTAAATTTGGTGAATGGGAGATGGAAATATCCTGCACTAGGTACAAAAACGACTGCTTTAAACATAATGAAATTGGCATGGTCAACGTTAATATTTCACGATAAAATAAATGCTTCATAAAATCAGCAGTTCACGTGTGTAATAATGAGCATTAAACGATGAATTTTCTGAAAAACAATCTTTGTCTTCTTTAGGTGTCTTTAACAAATTCAAATATACATGTATAATATGTGGGGTGTTCATGAGCAAGAATGTGCATAGTAAAACAGAGAACAAGACTACTAACAATAAACCAGGTACAAAAACAAATAATGATTTGAATCATGATGAAAAAAAGTTAACGTTAATATTGATTTTCTATATTTATAGTCCTCAAGGAAGAAGTTGTCTCAATTTATAATGAAAACTTCGCTGAGATACCGAAGGACAGGGAGCCATATTATGTTAAAGTTCAACGATGTGTCATCGAAAAAGATGAAATTCCTATATGTGTATTTTGTTGGCCCCAACCTATGACATTGACAGAAGTCGAGATTGTCGTTCCTGATTTAAAAAACTACACAAAATTTTACAAATATATTGTATATAATCACACTTCTTGTTACATGAGTACAAACTTAACAGCCTTGAACTTTGATCAACACAAGAATCTATCTTCAAACGAAAGTAAGGACTTCTGTATTTAATTAAAATTTAAACTGAGATCTAAATTTGAAACGCTTTTCGTTTTGTGTTTACAGTTAACGAAACAGAATTTACAACAAAAGTAAAATACAATCCACCAAACGTGAGAAATGTAATACTATTGCAAGCATCCACAACCTCGTTTTCATCTGCACAGTGAATATATAAAGGTTCTTTTACATTATCTCTTTATCCCATTCACTCAATGCTTGCCTGGTTGCAAAGCAACAGAGAAAATGAAGATTGTCAATACAAATAGCATAGATGGTTCAATCCAATTTCAAGTCGTCAGGGAACATATATCTTGCCATCTCTGGAGCACAACACAACAGTCCCAATAATTCAGCATTTTGGAAGTGGAGAAGAAAGTATACGAATTTGTGCAGTGAACATAAAGATCAAGTAATTTAGTTGGTGTTATTGTTTAATGCAGGATGGAAATAATAGAAATTCACAAAAAGTTTATAAGTATAAAAAATAAATCAATGTTTCAATAAAGGTTTCAAAATTAAAGCAACAGAACAGCTGCAGTCGTACTCTCGCAACCGCCAACAATATCCCCAACAAATACTAAGTGATAACGATACTACCCTACCCCCTAACAACCTTGTACTAACTCCGGACGGTGATTATCTCGACAACATTAAGTCTTTATTGAACGTATCTCCAGATTATACGCTCTTCTTGAAATAAAACTCGTACATAATAATTGGCATTAGCGAACCTATTACTTGGTAATTTACTTTTTTAGTTGACATTCAGCACAATTAGTTATACCATCGAAAAATGAGGACTTTGCTGTCAGACAATTTTTTTGCACAAATGGAGAACTACCTCCATTTGAGAGGAGTCGTTCCATGCTTTAGAAAAAACCTTAATGTCTTGTAATAAATCGCCAAGTTCAATGTCAATTTCTTTTGAGTAGACTTTCTCGTTTCTGGATTAATGAAAATAAAAAACGTCGTGATCATGTTCATCAACAGTCACATTATTGCTATATCGCCCTATACTAGATAATCTCTTCTTACAATATTAAAATGTTAATGTCAGCTTCATTAATTATTCTTTTAATGATGCAATTTAAATTCTAGCGAAGTCCTTATCTTCTCTTCTCTTGAAGCTCAATACTTGAAGCCTTGACCGGAGTTCGGTTGCTTATGCGATAAACATGTGTTAATCCTCAAATATCCAATGAGGAAATATACATAATATTGGAACAAGTCATCAACAATTATAATACTAAGATCGCCAAAATTTTATTTGGTTCCAATATTTATACTTAGTGTGAAGTAATCAAATGTCATGATTACAAGAATCTTAAATGCGAAATGGAGTGTATTCCCTCTTATGTTAAAGGCAGCTTTGCTTGTTGGTACTTCTGGAAAACTGACATCGTCAGAATAATTTTCTGGCTATAATTTATTTATCTAGTTAGAGCTTTGTACAGTACTTTTACTGAGCATCATGGCTGCAATAAATTTACGACTTTTGTTATTGCTCCGCAGAAAACATTTATTTCGATATCTTTGGTGTAGAAGAAAAATGCTAGGCTTGTGAAAAAAACAAAAAAGAAGGTTCTGGGTCCGACGGCTTTACGAGGAACGGAAGGAGAAAGGTGAATATTACAATCTTGTGAAAGATCTCAAGCTCTACGATCAACTAATGTTCTTCAAATATTTTCGTATGTCTCCAAAAACATATGAGAAACTTTTTGGATACGTAGCTAGTGATCATACAAAATGTACGACAAAAATGCGTGAACCTATTGGTCCAGATGAACGACTTTCAATAACTTTACGATATCTTACTACTGGTGATGCACATACAACAATAAGTGCCAACTATCGAATGAGTTCCACCACTGTTGGGAGAATCATCAATGAAACTTGTGATGCCCTGTGGAATAGGTTGTCTGAACAAAAAATACATAAAAGCTCCAAGAACTGAAAATGAATGGAATAATATTGCCAAAGAATTCGAGAACCGGTGGAATTTTCCAAACTGCATTGGTGCAATTGATGGGAAACATGTTGTTATGTTTGCACCTGCAGGCTTGGCATCTGGATACTTCAATTACAAGAAAAATCACAGTATAGTTTTGTTGGCCGTTTGCGAAGCAACATATAAATTCACTCTTGTTGATATTGGGGATAGTGGAAGGCAGAGTGATGGCAGTGTCTACAATAATAGCCACATGGGATATGCAATTGATTCTTGATTGATTCTTGAACCCTCACTCTCATAAATAGATGGCCTGCTGTGCTGACGTGCATTACAGAGCTGATTAAGTTTCATGACATTAAAGCTGAATTAGAGCTGAATTATGATTGATTCTTGAACCCTCGCTCTCATAGATGGCCTGCTGTGCTGACGTGCATTATAGATCAAGATATGATCTTCGCACTTTGCTGGACAATTTAAGCAATCGTCTCAGGACCTGAAAAATCAGGTGACTCAACGGGATTCGAACCCATGACCTCTGCGGTGCCGGTGCAGTGCTCTGACCTACTGAGCTATGAAGTCACACAGTAGTGAGCAGGTCAATATTGTTGGGCTCATGTTTACGTGTGACGATTCCTTAAATTGTCCAGCAAAGTGCGAAGATCATATCTTGATTTAATTTCAAATACCGCACTTCATAAAACATTCGTGCATTATAGAGCTGATTAAGTTTCATGACACGTACGAGCACCGCCACTCATAACAAAAACAGCTGTGATTGTTTTTACGTAAGAGTTACATGCCTACTTATTGTAAGTAACGTTCAACTCTGCAAATATAATAGAGCAAACTATGGGTGAGTACAACAGACTACCTTGATCATCGAATTTAAAAGTTCGTGCTTTACCGAGCCATTAATTATAAAAAATCTTTCATTGAACTTGTAATGCGAATTTGAAATACATAATTATGTGATATAAGAGGCGTGTATAGACACAATTTTTTATGTATGACCAAGCTTTGTCTTTTTAAGGTATCTTTGAAAACTTAATATATACTTGGGTAATGTTCGTGGTCTTTGTTTTTGAAATAAGCGAAAAGGTGAATGGAAGAAACCATGGATTAGGTACAATAAAATATGAAGTCTATGAAATTAAACGTCCTAGAATCAAACATAAAATAATATGGTCAGTGTTAATAATGCTTTTCATATTATTGTATGTATAACAACAATGTGTACTCGTTGATAAATGTAGCTTGTTTATCTTTTTAAATTTGGTGAATGGGAGATGGAAATATCCTGCACCATGGCCTACTCAAATTACACGGCCTGATATCTTGCCATAGCAAGGCCAAAAATGCAAGGCCATTGAATTTTCCGGCGGTGCTCTTCGAAATTTTGATCTTCTTCCTTCAAAATTGTTCATTGGCCTTACTTTATGGTATAATCTTGTAGCTAAAAGTCTAGCAATCATTTCAAGAGTTTATTCGCTGAAATTGGTTTATTTTTCGCCGAGAAATCATAGTTTATAAATTGGTGCGATCGGCGATTGTTTTGTTTATCAAGCGCTCGTCTTCATTCGAAAATTTTAGCTCTTAAATCTATCGTGGATTATCTATATTTGGTATCTATGTGTTCCTGGTACTCTCGTCTACATTTCTACAAGATTTTTGGAGTCGAATTGTATACATTTTTTCTTTTATTTACGAAAATCTTCAAACCCATAATTATAGCGATGGTGCTTCCTATTTTCAACGGTGTCCTTCCTACTCCAACTACGCCTAAGAAAATTTCATCAAATCCAACGATTTCATTGGTAAATCATACTATCCCTTACCTTTTCAAGCTTCCTCATTAATTGGAACTTAAAATAGAATGGTATGTTGAAAAGAACAATAACAGTTCTCATTCAAAGCTTTACTATTTTTTGAATTCCCTTATTTGTAATCACATGAATTTATCATTTTTCCGCGTTCAATGAATTATGTAATTCTTCATACCCAAGCCGGCTGATCTGTTTTGCCCTTTCCACATTCAAACATCTCTCCATCTCTCTTTCCTAACAGACGGTCAATTTTGGCGTCCAAAACCTCTAGGTCAGAGCAGGGATTATTGGAAGTTTAACTTAAAACAGAAAAAGAATCAATTTAACGCTGTTGCCATGACCATACCAAACAAGATTCATTTCGCAATTTTGATATCTGTGGACGACTTTCACAAATGAAAAAACCCCAGCAAAGTCCAAATGCTGGTAAGTTTCGTAAATAGAAAGAATAGTTGTTCTGAGATTATACAAAATCCATTACCAGCCGACAATTTTATAAAGTTTAATAAAAAACTTCCTCCGAATAAAAGGTCCAAAACTCAATACTTAAGAAACAAACAAGACAGTTTTTTTACACAGTAATATTTCGAATTTATTACAATTCATCATCGGATTGTTTCTCAAATATTGAGTTAAACATGAACATTTTATTCGGAATATGTTTTCTTATTATAGTAAAGGAAAGTATAGCTTTTCTCCATTTGTCGCAGCAAATTCATGCTAGCAAGCTGAGTAATTCTGCTTGTGGATGAATTATGGCGACGATTGATTCAACAAGACATTCTGTAATAAAGTAAATGATTTGAACCAAAGTAAATGTCAACAACAACAAAAACAGTCCTTCTCAGGACTATACGAACCTGGACGATCTACATTTACAAACATGTAAAGACATTCTGTAATAAAGAAAATGCAAATTTCAATTTTTTATGACCTTTCGTGTTTAGAGCAGATTTTTGAACTTTACATGCCTTAATTTTAACACCTAGTTTCCTACTATCGATTGATGTTGTTGACAAATTATAAACAGACGACCTAGCTCAACTAACACCTTCACACCGATGATATGGCGATAAAGAGAAAAACAAACATACGAAAATTTCGCTCCTTCATTAATTTAGCTTTCCTGCTTGCTGTTGCGTGCTCTCACAGTCGTTTTTCACATGATTATGATTGATTCTTGACCCCTCACTCTCATAAACGTCAATGAAAGATTTTCTATAATTAATGACTTGGTAAAGCACGAACTTTTAAATTCGATGATCAAGGTAGTCTGTTTTACTCGCCCATAGTTCGCTCTATGATATTTGCAGAGTTGAACATTACTTACAATGAGCAGCATGAACTCTTACGTAAAACAATTGCAGTTGTTTTGTTATGATGCAGTGCTCGTACATGTCATGAACAATCATAATGATGATTAAGATGCCTGCTGCTGACGTGCATTATAGAGCTGATTAAGTTTCATGACACGTACGAGCACTGCCACTCATAACAAAAACAACTGCGATTGTTTTTACGTAAGAGTTACATGCCTGCTCATTGTAAGTAACGTTCAACTCTGCAAATATCATAGAGCGAACTATGGGTGAGTAAAACAACTACCTTGATCATCGAATTTAAAAGTTATGCTACATTAATTATAAAAATCTTTCATTGAACCTGTAATGCGAATTTGAAATACATAATTATGTGATATAAGAGGCGTGTATAGACACAATTTTTTATGTATGACCAAGCTTTGTCTTTTTAAGGTATCTTTGAAAACTTAATATATACTTGGGTAATGTTCGTCGTCTTTGTTTTTGAAATAAGCGAAAAGGTGAAAGGAAGAGACCATGGATTAGGTACAATAAATTATGAAGTCTATGAAATTAAACTTCATAGAATCAAACATAAAATAATATGGTGAATGTTAATAATGCTTTTCATATTATTGTATGTATAACAACAATGTGTACTCGTTCATAAATCAAGATTGTTTATCTTTTTAGATTTCGTGAATGGGAGATGGAAATATCCTGCAATAGGTACAAAAACGACGGCTTTAAACATAATGAAAATGGCATGGTCAAAGTTTATATTCATTTTCTATAGTTCCAGTCCTCAAGCAAGAAGTTGTCTCAATTTATAATGAAAACTTCACTGACATTCCGAAGGACAGGGAGCCATATTATATTAAAGTTCAACGATGTATCAACGATAAAGATAATGTTCCTACATGTTCATTATGTTGGCCCCAACCTATGACATTGACAGAAGTCGAGATTGTCGTTCCTGATTTAAAAAACTACACAAAATTTTATAAATATATTGTATATAATCACACTTCTTGTTACTGGAAATGAACTTAACAGCCTTGAACTTTAATCTACACAAAAATCTATCTTCAAACGAAAGTAAGGACTTCTGTATTTAATTAAAATTTAAACTGAGATCTAAATTTGAAACGCTTTTCCTTTTGTGTTTACAGTTAACGAAACAGAATTTACAACAAAAGTAAAATACAATCCACCAAACGTGAGAACATGTAATGACTATTGCAAGCATCCACAACCTCGTTTTCATCTGCACAGTGAATATACAATGGTTTTTTACATTATCTCTTTATCCCATTCACTCAATGCTTGCCTGGTTGCAAAGCAACAGAGAAAATGAAGATTGTCAATACAGTATTCCTAGATGCTTCAAACCAATTTCAAGTCGTCAGGGAACATATATCTTGCAGTCTCTGGAGCACAACACAACAGTCCCATTAATTCAGCATTTTGGAAGTGGAGAAGAAAGTATACGAATTTGTGCAGTGAACATCAAGATCAAGTAATTTAGTTGGTGCTATTGTTTAATGCAGGATGGAAATAATAGAAATTCACAAGAAGTTTATAAGTATAAAAAAAAATAAATGAATGTTTCAATAAAGGTTTCAAAATTAAAGCAACAGAACAGCTGCAGTCGTAACTCTCGCAACCGCCAACAATATCCCCAACAAATACTAAGTGATAACGATACTACCCTCCCCCCTAACAACCTTGTACTAACTCCGGATGGTGATTATCTCGACAACATTAAGTCTTTATTGAACGTATCTCCAGATTATACGCTCTTCTTGAAATAAAACTCGTACATAATACTTGGCATTAGCGAACCTATTACTTGGTAATTTACTTTTTTAGTTAACATTCAGCACAATTAGTTATACATCCAATTTAGTTAACATCCATCAAAAACGATGACTTTGCTGCCAGACAATTTTTTGCATTTTTTTAGTATGGAACAAATGGAGAACTACCTTGACCGGAGTTCGGTTGCTTATGCGATAAACATACATATTATTGGAACAAGTCATCAACAGTTATAATACTAAGATCGCCAAAATTTTATTTGGTTACAATATTTATACTTAGTGTGAAGTAATCAAAACTCGTGTTTACAGGAATCTTAAATGCGAAATGGAGTGAATTCCCTCTTATGTTAAAGGCAGCTTTGCTTGTTGGAGGTACTTCTGGAAAACTGACATCGTCAGAATAATTTTCTGGTCATAATTTATTTATCTAGTTAGAGCTTTGTACAGTACTTTTACCAACGCTAGAGCCGCCACATCATGAAATTCTTTACGGCTGTTAGCCTGCCTTAACTGAATTCAACACATTACGCAATTCATTTTGTTCAACAATTAGTGACTGAACAAGTTTTCTCTACGTCATCACGACAAGTTCTTCGATTCAAAGTCATTCGTTGCCAAGCTTTTCACTTTCAACATATTTTGCTGCTTAAGTAACAGCTTGAGTATACTTCCCGTGTTAAACTCCGTTTTGCTCAATTACTTCTTCCGAAAAAAATATTCTCTCATTTGTATCAGATGCGTCGATATAATTTTGGTAACATTTCAACATCATTGAGAATTCAACCCCATTTTCCTCACTCTGTTCACAATTTTTGAACTTGTTTCGACTGCGCGGTTTAATGGAAGTTTTCAAATGGTTGTAGAATTTGAAACCCGGATTTTAAAATGGCCGTATAAAAGCGTAACGTCATCAAAAATATGTTAAATAGTTTATTTGAAAATTATAATGCCACCATCTCATACAAAAATTGCAACTAATAACTACGCCCTAAGAACTCTTTGAACACTAAGGGGCTGATAACATTATCAGGGTAGCCGGGACTCGGCCAAACGTTAAATGATTTTGGAAAAGATTTAATACTTGACATCAGACAAATCATCTCAAGCAATTTCACAATATTCTGATTTAAAAACTACCCAAAACATTTAAAATTAAAACAACCAATTTGCCCGAATTATCGAATTACAACAGGAATAACGTGTGGCGCTTTGCAAACACAGTTGTAATTTTTAACATTGAAGTTTTGGCCTCTCTCAGTCCCTTGAAATCATAGGGCTGGCACGCTATCCGGGCCAGCTCGCCTCCATATAATCAGGCTCTAAGAGTAATTCATCAGCCAGTATTGAAGCAAGAAAAAAGCAGAAGTTACTGTAAAGTTACTGTAAAAATTTAAAAGCTAAACGAAGTTAAAAGAGGCTTGCATATTTATTCTTTTGTTTTAAGTCCTCTGCGAGAGATTTAAATTTACAATCAACATTATAAACAATTATACGATGTAATTTTTTTATATTGTTTTCAACATGTACCATATGCTCCATTTCCGTCAATTAACACAATTATTATTTCAATTGACCGTATTTAAAATGGGACTTCACAATGCACCCGTGGACAGTACTGACAGGTTGGTCGTATTAAACGGTTGTTTGTTATAAAATACACCAGTGTTTTGCTTGTATAGAAATACGACCGTCATATAACCGTATTAACGGCAGACCGTAAGGCGGGGTGTCACTGTTTGACCAAATTAGGAAAAGTAAAACGCATTACAAAAATGTAAAAATAGAGCGAACAAATTAAAAATTCATTCTAAAAAGGGAAGACAGTCCTTGAAGTACTAAATGTCGAGTCATCGATATGAACGGAAACCGAGCACGAAAGAAAGAAATTAGTCAAAATACACCCACTACGTCTAATAATACAAAGAAGCCGCAATAAGTACTAACATGGGTACTCCAAATCCTCTTGCAAAACATTCTACCTCAAATACAAAAAGGGAAATAATTGCAAGAGTTCTTAGTATTTCGCCAGTTAAAAGACACAAAAATGATACTTTGAACTATTCTTGTATCATTGAACTATTTTTGTATCATGACGCCAAAAAAAAGAAGAGTAAAAAATGCTCTTTGCTTTAGAAAACCTTGAAAAGATTCTGCTGTTGGAAAGACATGAGACAAAATTGCGGTGAAAATTCAAAAATTACATGATCCTATGACATATATGATGCTGGAAATACAAAAGAAGAAAATCGCCGTTGTAATCAAAACCACGCCACTCCATCATCTCTTTGTTTTAGCAAAGAGATATTCATCTCTTTGTTTTAGCAAAGAGGTATTCTTCTGGAATATCATTAGCAGAAAATCGCCTTTGAAATTTGAAACGTCACCTTCCTATTATCTCGTTGTTTTAGCAAATGTCGATAAGATATGATTCTGGAAAGACATAGGAAGAAAATTGCCGCAAAGAAATTTAAAACCACACCATCCTACCATCTCTTTGCCTTAACAAACTTCGAAGAGCTATTCTTTCGAAAGAAATGAGCAGATACTGCTGGAAAGACATGAAAAAAAGATTGCAGAAGAAATATAAAACCAGGCCGTTCGCTTCCATAAAATATTTCTTCCCATTCAAATAATCCTCATTCGCAAATGTCGATATTTCACCTCAATTAATTCGGAAATTCTAAGCAACTTCTCTTTGATTTTCAAGGTCAAATGGACTTCTTGAAACAGAATGCTTCAAATGATGAAATGCGTTGTGGCAGATGACTCATCCTCAATTATGCAGTTATGTGCAAGGAAATAGTCGATAAGAGCATGCGGGTGACACAATAATACGCGAAACTGATCCTTAATCCAATCTCTGACAAATATGTCATTTATAGCCGAGTACTAGGCTCCGGATTAGTGATCAATTTTGTGTATTTATAGAACGCAAATTTATCACCAACGTTTTGGTGTTTACTCATCGTAGAAACAATAAAGACTTCAAAGAAATAAACACTGATAATAATCTGAAGTTTACATCGCAAGACCAAACCCAAGGGATGACTAGGCCACAAAAATAACCCAACTAAACGCAACAAAGGCCACTGTGCTGCACGTAAAGCAGTAACCTTTGAGCTTTGCTTCATGTAACTACGTCAATTATAGGCTAATTAAAACACTGTTTAACACAATCGGAAGCGCACTTGTGCCGTTTGCAATTCCTCTCGCAATTATTTCAGTTTTGACAATACGTTACAGTTAAATTCACACCTACGAATGTACTTTATTAGTTTCAATGTTTTACGGAAAGAACCAACAACGAAGTACTAAGAACCATTGCAGTTAAATGAAATCCAATTTTCTGTATATATTTTTCTAGAAAAGGCCTTAGAGCGATGATGATCTTCAGATCTTTCTATATAATCGTCATGGACCATACGGTCTATACTACACGGTCAAAACTATTTGTTGTTTTGAAAAAGGTTTTTCTATATTATTGACAGCTCTCGCTCACACGATTTCTTTTTCTTATCTATAACGAGCTAAATTATCAAAATTTTGTTCCTTAAGCTTGGAAGAATAAAGTAAAAGAATGCTTGTGATTGAATGTACTATATAGCAATCATACATTGATAAAGACTGGAGAAACTGTATCTGTAAAGTAGATTTATTGTACACACATGATGTGATGACAACCATCATTTAATATGAAATCAATTAGCCGTTGAGCGTTTTCCTATCAAAACAACTGGGAAAATATAAAATACCCAAGTCACTTTACATCATGCTAATTAAAACCCACCAGAAGTCGTCAAAAACAATTCCGGACATTTATAAAAAATAGCAAGTTTTAAGGCGTGTTATGTGCGATCACGCATGCGTTTCTGAAGAACTTGGGTGGGACAACTTCCACTGTATTTTTCATGAACCTACAGGAACCTTCGAGAATTAAAAAATTTTACGACATGATCTATTTTACTTTACAGAAATCAATAAAAGCATTATTTTTTTTCTTGCATTGCGTGTTGTTGCGTAAATAAGTTATGAAGGAATGCTAACCTCAACAGCGCAATACAGTATATCAAAAATAACCTAAAGAGTATTCATCCTTCTGCTGCACCATTATTTGTCAAAAGGAAATGGTTAACCCAACAAAATAAAGTGCGGTTCACCATGCAGTGAAAAACAAGTCTTGCATCATTATAAATATAAAAAACGCAAACACCATAAATCATTTACAAGTGTTCAAAAGTCAGCGAACAGTTGCTTACATCGAAAAGAAAGACGATTTGCAAAAAACGATCAACCAATTTTTCTGCAAGCAAAATGGGTAAGTTATACATTCTATTTGTTTTTCTAATTGCACCATAAAGAAGTATTACTAGGTTCAATTTATCGTATGCACTTCATGATGACTATTTATGCGCCGATTTTAAAGCACCATTGAGTAGTGTTAACCTTGTATAGTAGCCAAAACTATGTGTCGTCGATGCATACAATGTATAGATTACATATTGTTTTAAATTCTGCAACAATTCGCTGTCGCATTGTGCAATTGCGCTAATTAAACAAAGAAACAGCATTGTATAAAAAAATTGTTGAAAGAAACAGCACGATTGTTTGTTGTATACCATGCTGATTGCCATTACCAATTTATTCAATCGTTTTTTCGTATTCAATTTAGCTATAAAATTTGTTACAATAATGACCCTTAATCAATGATCATGAAGCATTATGTTTGACAAAGTCCTCGGTGTCAAAGAATCTCTGTTGAAGTAATTCCACAAAATTCTTTAAATGAACCTAGAGTAGAGACGTTCACATGAATTAAGAATATAGCATAGGGTCAATTTTTTTCACACACGGTTTGATATGTACATGGTTCAACAGCGCAGGAAGTATGTATAGAAAACATTTAAATTTTTTTTTGTAAACTATGCCCTAAAAAGTTAACTAAATGACATTAAAAAATATCATTACGGGAAGTTACAAAGGACAATAGGGCCAATAGGGTGAAATATCATTTTGAATCCCTGCATCTCTTAAACAAATTGTTGATGAATATATCGAATGATCAAATAATATATGTATATTGATTATTGATATAAAAAAGATAAGAATAATTCACGCCACTCTTGACCTCCAATGACCTGATGTTTACATTTGTGTCTTTGTTCTTTATCACTCTTTGTAAGACGCTCATTTGAGAGCAACATTCATTGCATTGCTATAAAAATACTTTTAACACTGTACCATCTCCAGTATGTTGGGTTCAAAATAGACGCTGGTTTTAGTATGACTTACAAAATGGCTTATCAATTTGTATAAAATATTTCATAGTTGAGCAAAGTAAATGATAGCTGTAATTTTAAATTCATAAATGCGTTTATGCCTTTGGTTGTGAATTTAATAAAATCCTACCAATCAATTGGCAGATTTAATATATTTTGCATCAGGTACTGATTGCGCTTTTATCTTTCATCACAGATCGATATTTTTTAAGAAGTAAAAAGGAAGTTTATGTTATTGTTTTAACACTATGCCAGCTCTGTGCAGCAGCAGGTAAACATACAAAACTAAACATGTTGAATTTACTGATTGTATAATGAAATAGTCGTTCTTTATTTTTCATTTGGTTTCTCACAATTGAAAATTGTTCGTCCACAGACAAGCCAAATTAATATGTACTTATATTTCCAGCCAAGAAAACGTGTGAACCTCAGGAAGATGTTGTGTCCATATACAGTGACAAATTTGACGAAGCCCCCCCCCCTCAAGGCTTCGGACCATATTTCATCAAAATACACCGCTGTGCAGAATATTCACAAACTCACTATCCGTCGAAACCAGTGAGATGGCAAAAGATAGGCATCGTACTGAGAGACTCACTGACGTTTAAATATTACGAATACATTTTACATAATCACACCAAGTGTAAATGCTCCACCAATTTAACAGTCTTTCAATACAACAGAGAAAGGCGTGTAGGTAAGTGAAAACATACATAATATTACGTTATAGCACACCCCGAACTTAATTCCCACCGAAAAGATTAATGCTATTCCATAAGCTTTTCATTTCATTGTTTAAGCAAATTTTTATTATTTCACCATACAGTCACGGGGGGAATGCACCTCTTATCCTGCATACTTGTCCACTCCCGAAGTGAGGGATTTTGAGTAATATCAATTGTACGATAAGAACAAGAAAATGCATGCGCTGATTGGTCTCTTGCCGAGTTTGCAATTTGCATTAGCCTTTGCATCCGACCAGAGCTTATTCAATAAATTCAATCAAAAATAATTTGCAAATAATCAATCAACGATAATTTGCAAATCAATCATGAATATATATAGAGAATGAATTAGAAGTTTTTTTTAATATTTATCTGTTTTGCATTACTGTTAATTTATAAAAAGATGTTTTACGCGTTTGCACTGGCTCATTGCAAAACCTCAAAGAGTGAGATCTCTCGACCATTGGTCACGGGCTTCCACTCATCTGCTCTCGAGAGATGTCAATGTCAAGAAATAATAGTTTTCTGTTTTGTTCGATTTCAGCTGTGAATGTGATGTTAGGGTGCTCTCGGTTCAGATAGTCAAGAAAGAGAGGGACGTGATCGGAGGGATGAAAAAGTAAAAAACAGTCGTCAACTTAGCGTCGGTAAAGTAGTGGTTTGAATGAAGAAGGACATTTATTAAGCCAGGATTGTTCGTGAGAGGACATGAATATATCAGCAAAGAGAGGGCCCAATGGACTGCCCATAGCCACACCATCAATTTGCTGGTACATTTTCCCGTTAAAGATAAAGTGACAGTTCTTAACAGCTAGAGAGTAGTTTTCAAATTCTGTTGCAGTGAGTCCGTTGAAGTACTTGTGGTTGTTAAAAATGCTATTGGATATTATGCGGATGGTTTCGTCAACAGGTATGTTAGTAAATAGGGATACGACATCAAAACTAGCAAGGACAACATTACTGGAGTTGATTTCGCAGTTTACGATTTCTTCGACAAAGAGAAGGAGTTTTGATGATAAAGTTGCTTGTAGTGAAGGGTTTTAGGAGTGGGATAAAAAACTTTGCTAGTTTATACGAATAGTGATTAATGGAGGAAAGAATGGGTCTGAGAGGGATGTTACATTTATGTATTTTAGGAAGACCATACAATATACCTATTCGTGAACCAGTAGGGTAAAGTTTTTTGTAAGTTTCTTGGCCGATAGATTTAGCATCTTTCAACTTTTTTAATAAAGACTTCACTTGATTTTCTCGTTGTAAAGTGACTTTTACTGGATCTCCATCAAGAGGTTGAAACTTTGTTGTGTCAGATAAGAGTGTGTTCATTTTCTTTATGTAGTCGTCTTTGTTAAGTATTACGATGCCATTTCCTTTGTCAGGCTTAGTGATGAGGATAGTTCTGTCGTTTTTTAAACTATTTAAAATGTTCAAGTCTTCTTGTGAGTATAGGAAAGGTGGTGGGCTGTAACTTCGGAAACCTGAGTGGGCAATGTCTTTTAATTTGCATTTGATCGAGTCTGGAAAAAATCCGGATGATTCATTAACAGGTTCTCGTTTAAGGCGGTTGTAGAGTTTTTCTAAGGGTGTTAGGAAGGTGCAAATGTTTAACATTTTCGGTGGGACGGAAAAGTTTAAGCCTTTTGAAAGGATTTCCTTCTCTCTGTCAGTAATGAGGTGGTTTGAGAAGTTGAACACCACTTTATCAGGGTCGATTGGGATGTTGTTGTCATGTTTGGATGTGAGACGGAAAAGTTTGCGATCTTGGATATGTTGATGTTGCATTAGTTTTCTTGAATTTTCACGATCGGAGACATTCTTAAGGTGTATAAAGTCAATTTTGGAGATTAGTAACGCCAGGTTGGAGTGTGCTTGTGTTAGTTGTGCTGAGAGGACGCGTATGCGAGCGTGTTTCCGTTTATTTCTTCTTGAAGGAGTTTATTTTGCATTGGCGATAAGCGCTAGAGTTTTGTAAACGACGACTAGCTACTTTGAACGACAGGAATCTTGGTATCACAGAGCGCTTTCTGCATGTCGTAAGAAAATCCAAGTCGAGTTTGGCTTTTCTCAGCTTAAGTTCAAGTCGTTGGAATTTTCTAAATGCTTCGAGTGCTCCATTATTATAGCGATTATTTAAAATAGTAGCGAGAGACTTGCCGAGCGGAAAGCGAATTCGTGTTCATTACGACAATCATACATAGCGCCTGACGAAAACAACCATGTTATTTGCCTAAACGCACGCACTTTGATAGTTTGTTCAACACAATATCACAGATGACAATATTTAACTAATTAAGGATCTCTTTACCGTTCGGCTCATGCAAACAAAAAGCTTTGTTTGGGACGAAGTGTAAAAAGTAGTAGCTTGTTCAACAAACGTCGAACAGTATCTACATTTTATATGATTGACAACAGGGCAACAAAAAAATGCAGGAACATCCTTCAAAATAATTATATAATTATATATAACTCTAATTGAGTGGGCGCATGTCTATAAAACTTACAGGAGCGGAAAGTTGAAATTAAATGAAGATATGATCTTGATATGAACACCGCACTGCATATAACAATCTTTCAGCGGAAAGTTGGTTGAAATATCGTATAAAGACAAGTATGGAAACTAGCCAGAGAAAAATTTTGATCATGATTTAGGACATGCAACAAGCCGGAATATGAAATATAACTATTACTGTAAAGCAACGTTAACAGCATAGTAAAAGAAAAACATAATGTACATAAGCTAGCAGCAGCAGCAGACAATAATTGTTGATACGAAAAAGGAAAAAACATACCCAATATGTGTTGACAATGTTAAGCAAGCCGCATTCTGAAAAAACAAATAGGGTGTGACAAATGTTTTCAAAATTAGAAATGATACGAAATTATCATTATTATGACCATCGCCCCGCGAAGCTAATTTGTTGTGATAAACTATTTGGCAAACCATAGCAGCATCATCCATGGGAAAAACTTACTGAAAAAGAGAAAGAAATAGTCGCTACGGCCAAATTTTTACAGATCGTCGTCAAGATATGTTGGTATGCAGTTGACCATTATAACATGCACTTGCTATTGAAAATAAACTGAAAATTTTATTAGATGTGTTAAATGCATTTTTGTCCAATTTACCTTCAATCGACATAAAATACATCTTTTCACATTCATACAATAGCATATTGCCAGAATTTATATTTAACTTCATTATTTTATTTAAAACGTTCAAAATGATAAGAAAAATTAAAGGCTTTTTCACTAATGAAATAATCATCAACATAAATAGCCTCTATAGTGCATTAAACAGAAGTAAAATGTTTCTATTAACGACGTATCGGAGAGAAACTAATTATTAGCAGATTAATTTGCAATTAAATGGTTGCATAACACACCGCACCTAAAAACCTTGACCACTACCATGAGTGAGAAAAATTAAATCAAAAATGTGCAATAATGACCATTCCGGTCTACCCACGGGTGATACACCACATTTCTAAACTTTTTCTTAACCATGCATTTAAATATTTTTCACGTTGACTTCACACATGTTTCAGTTAGATTCAATCTGCGAAATATTCGGAACTATGGCGGTCAAACCAAAATAGACAAAATGAGAATGAACGAAACAGGAATTCTTAATATTTTCAATCTTGATCGAGCTCATACAAACGAGATAATAATAAATTGCTTTTCACACAATTACTACATCCCGTCTCACTTCAATTGTATCATCGATTCTTTAATTTGGTAAAGAATTCTCCAAATATATTTTGTGGGAGAGCAATTCAGACCACCGAAGAATTTAATACAAAGTGATCTTAGAAAGTCCCACTTAATTAGCATCACATTCCAAACAAACAAGAGTGGCAAATAAAACCTCTTCCCATAATATTGATGTGAAGATGCTCTTTCAAACATCAAGGCTTCCGTTGAAGTGCCTCGCGGAGGATTAATGTGTCGAATTTTACACAGTTTAAGATGCAGTACACATTCTATATTTTTAATTTAGTTCATATAAGAACGTAAAGCGGTGGTTATTGTGCCATCATGGTCGTAGGAAGATCGATAATTAAGGAGGTTCACATTCATATGAGCATGTTATAATTTATATATGCATACATGAATGAAGCCTCTCAATTTTCAACCTTCGTATGGCCCAGGCAATACCGACAAAATGCAAAGTAACAAACGGCTCCTAAACATTACAAAATTATTAAGCTGAACAATGCATGATTATTTTAAATACAGTAATATTAAACAATTAACAATTTCGGAGCGTACATGAATCATCATAATTATGTTGCTGCAGCAATTCGCCCACAAAAGGAAAGCTTTGTTCCAGCAGTACATAGCTTCCTACCAAGTACTAAATCAGTCGAAGGATGTCCTTCGACGAGAAAAAATTTTTTTTGCGGTGCGGTTACCATGGGAGGTCAAGCATACCTTTGATACAATTGAGTACGGTATAAAATAAGGCAGCATTTTGTAACAATACAAACAGGCATAAGCAGCAGATTTGTGAGGTGTTAAGTAACAAGAAAAGAAACTTACTTGTTTGTTGTATCTTGAAGTGAACTAGATTCTGAAAAAATGGGTACGTAAAATGCTTTGCAATTGTGACAGTAGTAACTATGATTGTAGACTTAATAAATATACCGTAATAGATATCAATTGACAAAATTTTCATTGCTAATAAAGATACTTTATTTGACAAGATTAATGTTAGATCACTGACTTGAATCACCTCGGACACACAAAATTAGTATAAATATTAAATTCATCGAAACAAACCTCTCGTGAACGCTTTTTGCTTTAATAAAACACGCAATCTAACTTTATACAACGTAAAAATAGCGAGGAAACGGGCTCTTTGATTTAACAAGCGAACGTTTATCTTGTTTAGGTACCATTGCCAACTTTTCACAGGCATTATGGGTGGTTTTCGCATTTGTCTTATGCAGCAAAAACGTTAATGGAGGAAACAATGGATTAGGTAGGAAAACAAATGACTTTTATTATTCATTTACACAGCGACAGGTTTTTGAAGATATAGTTCACTTTATTGAATAATAACTTTTTTAATATCCAGCCCTCGAAGATGAAGTTGTCTCAATTTACAGCAAAAACTTCACAAATATTCCCAAGGACAGGGAGCCATTTTATGTAAAGGTTCATCGATGTGTACTCAACATGAAAGACGACGGTTACAATGTTCCAGGCCCCGAACGTTATCCTCAACCCACAAAAATGAAAGAAATTGAGATTGTTGTGCCTGATTTAAAAAACTACAAGAAGTTTTATAAATATATTGTCTACGATCACATTTCTTGTCACTGGAAGGAGTGGTCAGGCCAGCCAATTAACTTTGATTTACACAAGAACCTTACTTCAAACGAAAGTAAGCCAGATTACTGAATGTGACAATGACGTTGAATAACCACAGCTTAACTTAAAAACTTCATTTCGTTCTTACAGTTAACGAAACAGAATTTAAATCTAAGGTTAAATACAATCCACCAAACGTGAGAGGATGTAATGACTACTGCAAGAATCAACAGCCACGTTTTAATGTACACAGTGAACCCATGGCAGTTTATATAGATCAACTCTTCATACCATTC